ATAAGGAAATTATTAATTTAATTAAACTATAAATTAAGTATGACACACATGGCTAAATTAATATTTGAATAAGACTAGATATGGATAATAATATGAATTAAAAATAAAATTAATTATAAATAAGATTAATTAATATAAATTACTTATTCACCTGATTTAATAGTGATTGGTGATTACTGCATCACGTGCTGCAGCTGCACCATATGCTGCACCATGTCTACTGCGCCACATGAATAAGCTAATTAATTACAATATATATAATCAAATAGCAATTTGTAAAAGAGATTATTAAGTATAATGAGAATCTTTCTATCTATGATATCAGATATACTATAGATCTTTCTGTCTGCGATATCTAATTTATTATATTCAACATCAAGTTAATATCAGAACTTTTAGCATGTGATACTAATCACACAACTGAAGAATTTTATCAATACTCAATGATAATGTCATAAAAATTAGTTTACTTAAATATAATCTTATAATTACATTTGAATCTATAAATTAACTTGGGACCAATCTTGAAACTCTTTAGAATTAATAAATCAAGACAGATTCTGCTGTTAGATCACTTTTTGGCCTATCTTCTGTCTATTCTGATCAATCTACAGGCCCATCTTCTATCCACTCTAATCAACTCATGGACTTACCTTCTATCCATTCTTCCAGAAGTTCTTCTAATAATAAGAAAAGGTAGATAACATGATTCTATTCCCTAAATATCCAGAGTGTATTGATATAATCTGATAAATTTTAATATTTTTCATAATAGACTCAAGTCCAAGAGATTCCTCTAAAGCAAGAATATACATGAGTTATATCCTAATAATCTGGTAATGCTTCATTCCAGTTTTCAATAAAATCAAAAGTGTAAGTGAGTTTAGTAAGGATGAAATATATCATGAATTAGCAAATGAAATTAGCAGACTTGGAGGAAGAATTATTAAAGCATCAATATTAATGAATTTTTACAAAAGAATAATAACTCTGAGAACCATAACATCAAATATAATTAATGCATAGATCGATAGAAAAATAAATATAGTTGCTAATTCTAGTAAATCAACTAAAATATAAGGTAATTGAATTCTTTTTCCAATGAATCAAGAATAAATCATCTTGATATTTTTAATCATGAATGTGCATGAATTCTATTAAGTGCTTTTCTTTATTATGCTCATGTCTGAGAATCCAAAATCCAATCTGTATTCCATCATAGTATACAATCACATGATAAGTATGATTAACTATTAATAAAAACTATTCCCATTGCAGAATGAAAGATCTAAGATTAGTCACAACCATTATGCAATATGCCGAATAATTGATTGGATAGAAAAAATAATACTCACGCCCCATCACCTGATAATTTGCCCGAAATAAGATTTTTCTTCGTTATAACACCATATCTGACATGCTAATTATCATTGACTTTTGTATTACCTATTCTATATATTACGCTCTTCCATTAGTGATTATAGTATCATAAGTATGGGATAGACAAAAGGGCACATTTCACTAAACTCAGGGTGATTACATATATTGTGTGCATTGCACATTCTGGAACTTTCTCTACACATGATTAACAAATTGCGCATGATGTAAATATCTTTATCTTTACAAAAAATATCTTGAAGATAATGATTAATGCAAATAAAATATTCTGTGATATATATATGGCAATTACATAACCCACAAGTAAAACTATATCTGAGTTGAAAGGTGTACGATAATATTACGAAAGTTGATAGTAATATCAGCCATTTTATCCATCATTATTTACGTTCTTTGATTAGCTCTTTAAACTGCAGTATCCCCAGAGTAGCTCGGCACCAATTGGTGACTTCAACAGGATTATCTTTTTTCTTTTGGTTAATATCATTACAGTACCTTTGTACTTCATACTCGTATTTCTCCTGGATTTTAGTAAAAGTTTTTATTATTGATCAAGAAAATATCTAAAACATTATATTCAAACATACTGCAAACTTAAACAAATTATCAATCCCATCAATGAATTGTCTGCAGGTTTGAAAGAACTTGAAAAGCTCAGTTTGGCTAATATCGATCATTATATAGAGCCCTGAAGCACTCAGAATCATGATATAGCCAGTTCATGACGTCACTATCATACATATATAAACAATTTAGTAACAAATAAAATGAGATTATTATGCAAGTGACCTGGTTGACACTCATTGATTGTTTGCCATGAAAAAATCATACAATCCCTTCCTATCTTTTTGACAAGTATATCAAGAGCATCTTTCATAAAAATGCCTAACCTAACAAGATTCAGGTAGTTTTTCTTGTTATTATTGTTTTTCTCTTCTCCAGTTATTTCTCTAAACATGATTTCATATGTAGATTTGCTGTTATTCACAACATTACCAATCATGTCTGGTTGCTTTGCTCGTGAAGAATCCAGATTTGCAAGTTTATGGACTTTGGCACTCATGCTAGTAGTGTTTGGCCATATGGCTGGATGTATTGAAGTATCGTGAAAAAAGAAATATAATATTGGGCTAATTATATTCACAGTCAATGTGTTCTTGCTGAGAATGTCCTTTAGTGGCTTAATGGGAATATTTTTGGTTCTGTAGGATAGACAAAAGTATTATATAGTTAAGAGACAAAAAAGATCATGAGTTTGAACTTACAATTGCAAAAAGATAAATTGCATCATGTCGAACTTTTCCTGATCAATGGGATTTTCAAAAGACTTTGATCTTATTATAGTCTTTTGTGTCTCTTTCAATCTGAGATTCTCATCAAGTGCAATCTAATGCATCAAAATGAACAAAGTTATGATAAATGGCTTTCTGAAAGAATAATATATTAATATAATACCTCAATGTACTCTCAAAATACTGCCTTCACACTTGGTGCGACCTTCACTTTCATTACATATGTATTACACATATTTTGCTGAAAATGTTTGAGAGTATCCCTGGAAAATTTTTCGATCTGTAAGTTCGAGAAATTATCAGTTTGCAATAGTAAAATATGTGATAAGCTCCTAATATTTTCAACAAACATTAGCTGATAATTTGTATAAAAAGACATGTTCTCAAGATTCCAACTTACAATATCTCATGATATTCCGTGACAATTGATAACCCTAACTCTTGCCCCATTCGCAATATCTTGGAATGGTATGAATTAAACAGTTTGGAGATATTCTCTCCCTAAAACATATACTATATATGGAAACACATTTATTAGCAAAATATAAAAGCACGTAGAGAGGAAAGAAAGAAACTCACGGGATTTTCATCAACATCCTTATCAAGCATAACCAAGTTATCCAAGAAGAGTTTCTCTTGGTTATCACCTATATATTCATCAAATGTAGTATTCTCAACGCTATCAGTGTTAAAGACATTACTATCAGTTTCTTCATCACTTTCACTTCTTGTAGTTGGAGGAACAAAAGGATCTGATAGATGTATCTGAGATTTGGGAGTTCGTGGTGAAGGAATTTGAACGCAAAAATTGAGTTGAGATTTTCACCATCCATTTTTTTCCATTTTTAATCTTTTTCATTATTCTAAAGATTAAAATTTTAGTTTATTAGGAATAAGAGACAACATAATAGTTATAACTACGTATATGTATTTCTTCCTGATCCTCTTCTTTGTTTCTTTTTGATGTACTTTTGGACAAATTAACAAAAGTTCTACCGCTAATATTCGAGTTTCCCATCAGAGTGTTTCTTGTAAAGGCTGAACTATGAAGGTGAAGTGTGGGTTCACCGGCTGATTCACGATTATTTTTCCATTTTCTTGCAGAATGATAATCAGGTCAATCATTCTAGCAAAGAAGATTTGAAGAATTAGAAATATTCTTAATTGATATATGTTCTTGGTTCTAATTTCATCCCATCTGGTCAGCGAAGAGCCTTGAATATCAACAACTGAAGAGGTCATATGTGTCTAGTGGGACCAGTGCTAGGTCAGCGAGAAGTCTTGAACATCAACAACCAAAGAGGTCATGTGTATCCCCAGTACTGGTTTTGTGGCTGAGCAAAGAATCTTGAATGACAAAGAACTGAAGAGGTCTCCTATCATGCCACTATTCCACCTATATTTCTGACAAAAAAAAAGGATTCTTTGCTTGTCTTCCTATATCTATCAAGGAGAAGCCTTGCTCTTTCTTGATTGACACCTTTCTCACAATCAATAATAGCCGTTAGTGATTTGATGTAATGATCGATCTTGGCTTTAAATGGCTCTATATTACTTTGATTCAGAAAGTCTATAATATTCCATTTCGTAGATCTAAGTTTAAAGTATTCGTATATCTGAAACATGATTAATAGTATATAAAAAAGTAGAAAATTTTTAATCGGTATAACATAGGGTGATTCGTTGACTGATCAATAAAATGTGAAATTTAACAATTATACGAAATGATCAGGAGATAAGTTATGCAAGGCTAAAGTAGAGTATATTGCACGTGACATCAATTGTTAATATAAAAATTAGGTTTTTTAAATTTGCAACATTTATATAGTCGGTAACTACGTACGAAGACTACTCTATATCTAAAGTTTTGCAGGAGCATTTTACTTAGAGGTCAGAAGGCAGTTTCCATAGTTTCGAGCTATTTACACTTGATCTTGATCAATTATAAGCATAGTGGACAAATCCTAATTTGGCAATAATCATCAGTGGCTTAGTTAATTTAATAAAAAAATTTTTTTTTACTTTTTATACAGTTTAAAGTACTCCGTACTTCTGTGATTTTTTGAAATCTACCAAATAAATCTATTTAAAAAAGAAAACTAGCAAGAGTTCTTTGCATAACCCATCTTCTGTTAAAATTAATCTAAAATAATCTCACGATTTAAAAAGTTTTATTAAAGACAGATTTTATAGGTAATCTATAAAAAATAGAAGGTAGTTCAGCTCACAATTCAAGTAAATATTGCGTTATAAAGATTTGCAAAGGCACTCTAACGGAAAAGTGGAAAAAAATAACTGAAAATGTGTTGATCAAGGCAGAAGCAAATAGAACTCTAGCCTCATACTATAGAGATCTTAAGAATGAGTATATGTGTATGAGTTGTTATAACGTGATTGTGGTGAATGGAGCAAGTTCTTTCAAAGAACATGCTATGAATTGGGAGAAAGAGTTAAAAAGATATTGAAATAGTCTTTCTATGTGTGATAGTATTTCATTACTAACTAATCTTATTTTTGAGAGAGAAGTAATAGACGGAGAGCTACCTATCATTTCATTTTTCCAACTTAGGTCAATTGCTAAAAATAAGAATAATGAATTGAGTTTCTTTTTCGATCAAATTGAAGAAATAGCATGTTTAGAAAGAAAAACTGAAGCAGAAAAAAGAAAACTCGAGCGGTCATTGGTGTATCAATACTATTTGATGTATTGGAATTAAGACAAGATCATACCACTTTGGAGTTTAAAAGATAAATCAGAAACAGGTGATGATTATTTTTCATGGGTCGATAGGGTTAACGTCTTAACCAAACTTCTATACAATTGAGAAAAAGTTGAACAAAAGCCAGCTATTTATAGTTTCAAGTAATTATGCGAAGAGATGAAGGCTAAAGATATAAGACTAAGTAATTTTTTTAATTTGATTTATAATGCAACTCTTTTGGATAAAAAAAGTGAAAAATATTTAGAAAAACTTGATAAAAAATTAGCTGTAGAATGTTATATTATTTGTGGAAATTGGAATTCTAAGCTAACAATATTTAAAGAAGATATTTCTCTTTTTTTAAATTTGATAGGGGTTTCCGCAGAAGCTTTAGATGCTTTATCACGTGCAGGTATAATGATTTCATGAAGGCATCTGGATAGAAAAAAGACAGAAATCGCAGATAACCATTCATTTATAGTTGAGTCATATGTAGAGAATAATAAATACAAGGCTTTAACATTGAATGTTGATGATTACCATAACATTCATTCCAAGCGGACTCCCAATATGTGTTCAACATCAAACGTGGTACATATGATAACCTTGGTATTAAATCATATTGATATAATAGCTATTCCACGCACGCTAAATGGTGCATCAGTCCACAATCCAAAACTAATCGATTCTGAACTTATTTGTAATATTTTAGATTATTATTTTATGAAACAAATAGCGAAAACTTTTAACAATTGGTTTTATTATAAAACATCTATGGATGAAAAACTTGAAAATTTGACTCTTCATAGCTATGATGCTCATATACAAGAAGAACAAGAAGAATATAGAATGAAAGACACGATTCTCTTGGACTTTTTTGAATTAAAACTTGGAGATGTGAATTCATATATTAATGCTTTATAACGTATTTATGAAATTCCTTTATTAAATAATTATTTAACTAACAGTATTATTCCAATAATAGCTGATTGGCCTGGACAAGTGTTTATACATCAGGCCATCATACTTTACTTGCAAAATCATAGAGGTATAAATATATCAGATGATATATTATCATTTATACTAGTTATTGGCATTCTTCACATACAGCTGAACCTACTCGAATTGATATTAAAGACCTATTGGAGTTTTTTTAATATCAAATATATGTATATTTTCAGTACAGATAGAGAACTCAGCCAAATACCAAGTCCATATCAAATCTTTTTGCTTTTAAAATTAGTTAGAAGTGCATGGAAAAAAATCAAACCAATAGTAATGGGTAAGTTCAGTAAGTATTGTAAAGACTTGGAATATTTATATCTTTTGGATTTATTAGATAATATAGTACCGGTTGGGTTGGATATCTATTCGATTCTATTTTATTCAGGTGATTAGGAGTCATATGTCGAAGGCATATTTTGGACGTGGTATATTTTTTTGCGTTTTGAGAGATGTAATTATAACAAAGTATCTTTAGTATTTCTCTCAGACATATTTTATTGGAATCAAATTAACCATCCAATATTTAGTGTATTAAAAGATCATCTAGTTAAATTTACAGATTATCTGGTTGAAAATATGCATAGTATAATATGACGATAAACTTCATCTCTCGACATGTCACAACAACTTTCAAAAATGGCTAAAGTCATTAATGCAAAAAAAGCTGATAATACATTTGAAGATGCTTTTGTCATCCAACATAAATCCACATATGCGAATAAGGATCATTTAGCTTTACTAATAAAGAAAGCTGAAGTATTTCTTCTTGGAATTTTTGAAAAAGTCTATCAGAAATTAGGTCAAAGTTCTATCAAGAATACGAATGGCAAATTTACTTTTCAACTGGCATCGCTGAATTTTATTATGAATAAAAAGCAAATGTCATTAGGATTTAGTAGTGAATATTTACCAGTTTACAATGAATACAATTATTACTATAAATCATACGATGGAACAGGTAAAAGCTCCATGGTTATTGTATATGGTCACGGATACCATGAGAGCTGTTTTATTAATTTTTTAAATAACAAATATTTTTATTGTGAGAAATTTCTTAAACTTGAAGTACATAATAACGTTTTTTTTCTCCTTACATGATTAAGCAAGCTAGATAAAAATAAGTCAAAGTTGGTAGAATCTGAATTTCTTGAAGCTGAAGAAGAAAATAACCAATGAAATCAAATAATATTAGATGAGGATAATTTATTAGAAAGGCTACAAAAAAATAAGGATGCATTACCAATAGCGAAGCAAGCTTATTTTATAGTTCGTAATAGATTTTTAAATCTGTAAATGCAAGAATTGTAAATATATATTCATAGTATAAATATTTTTAAATTAAAAAATAAAGCGCTTAAAATCTTTGCTGAATTGATTATATATAATAAATTGTTTAAAAAATTTATAAATTTAATAAAATTCATTACAAACCCGATACAAACAGAAACTTTACAATTTACAGATCATGAGTGCAAGATCATCGCAATTGGGAAAAGTAATATCAGTTTAGCAATAGTAAGTTATGACAATCTGCCACGCACTTGTGATAATTGAATAGTATAAAAAAACTAATGATAATATAAATTTTTAAATTATTTAATTGAATAGTTCTGATTGGTCATGCGATCATGTGCATAAAAATCTTGTATTTTTATTAGATAAATTGGTACTGAGTCAGAACTGAGTCAGGTTTTCCAATTTTGGAAGGTTTGTACTATGAGGATTGTCCACTATGCTAGCTATAATGACATCTACTATTTCTTGATCTAACCAAAGTATGTTATAATTAACATTTCTACTAGATGGTATTGCAATAATTATTTCTAAGACAATATCTTTCAAGATGATTTTTGCTCTTGGTTTACATATTGATGGAATTTTGAAAGAGTTTGAATGAATAATATAAAAGAAATAAAATCTACTAAATAATAAAATGGAGTTATTTATAATAAATAATATTCTACAGATAAATATGATACAGGATAAATATAATAAATTAAAGGATGATATAATATAATTAATTCAGGTTACAAAAATTCTGGATTAATATATTTTTCC